TTTCCATTCGAAAATGAGTTGTTCAAAGATCTAAAATGCTGCCTATTGCAACTTAACCTTCTTATATTCTAAAGCGTGCCTTCCTCTTAAATATGGCCAAAGGAGCTGGCGTGACATTGTGGTTTTGAGCATTGGACTATGACTCTGGAAAACAGGATTTGCAGTATCCTCGAGCACATTAGCCTTAGCGGTCATCCCCTTACACAAACACAACCGGGACATGCAAACTGAGACATTTCTGATGCTGCATCTTCTTGGAGTCTCTGCAAAATGCCAGCATTGCCAGGCAGATGACAATTCTGTTGGTCTTGGAGCCTATGGTGTCATCAGGAGTAATGTACTGGTTATCAAAGGTAGAGGCTAAGAATAGTGAAGGAAGAGATCAGAATAGTGAAGAAAAGATAGAGGCCAGGAGTAGTGAAGGAAGAGAACAGAGCAGAAGAGGAAGACAGACAAGTGAGAGGGTCAGGGGGAAGAAAAGATTGCATCTCGTGGAGCCCCTGGGGAAAATGAGAGATGGGAATCATTAATTATTTTAAATCAAGGGTCCCCAAACTAATGCCTGTGGACTGGATGTGACCCTCCAAAGGTCATTTATTTTTTTTACTTACTATATTTCTACCCTGCTGTATCTCACCTCAAGGAGGACTCAGAGAAACTTCCAATTTTGGTAATTATTCAATGCCACAATTATAGAAAAAGCAATAATACATAACACAAACTGTTAAAATCAGATATGTAAAAACCAATAAAACAGCATGCCAAGCTTTTAGTCTACCACCCCATTCTGCTGTATGTGTGGACCAGGTCTAAATTATTCACAATTGATCAATTTGAAACAGAGACCATATGGTTGACTAACTGCAAAAAATATGTATATTTCAGTTTAGAAGCAGCAGTGGGTGAGGTTTTCTCCACTTCCTTCTGGTTTATTCAGGAATGATCTAATTTCCTTTCTTCAAAATGGAAAAAAAATGGATCATTTTTCCATGCCATTTTTTCCAGTCTAGGAAATTTATCACATTACATTCATTTATTTTATTTATCCTCCATCCTGTTCCCAAAGATGGGACCCAAATGTGCTTCCAAAATTTAAAAAAAGCAGTAAAAAACAAGGTAGGATTAAAATATAATTAATTTATTTAAAGAATTAAAACTATTTTAAACAATGATTTAACAGTCATAATAAAAATAGTATAGCACACTAAAGAAGGCCTTCTTTTACATGAAATAATTGATTTGCCTGTTCAGAAAAGGAAAGCAAAGAGGGAGCCAGCCTAGCCTCCCATGTAACGGACTTCCAGAGTCTAGGAGCAGTCACAAAAGGCCCACTCTGTCATTCCCGCTAAATGGGTCCCGGAAGGATGGTAGCATCCTGAGAAGAGTGCTCAGATTGGCTGCAATTATGTGTCGCAGCACAGTAATGTGTCAGCTGCAGTGTGTAAGTTTGCCATGTGAACATTTTGAAGGCATGTATGTTATCATACAAATTATATATTTTTTAAAATAGGAAAGTTTTTCATGAGATACATATATGTCTCCATATATTTGGTTATTACAATTTAAGTATGTGCTCATATGTCTTATAAAGGGTTGGTGTGTGTGTGTGTGTGTGTGTGTGTGTGTGTGTGTGTGTATATATATATATATATATATATATATATATATATATATATATATATATAGTAAAACTGAATTACTGTGTTGTGAAATGATGCATGTTTAAAAAGTATGTCACCGACATAAATGTGCTGGCTAGATTCTGTGTATATTGGTCAAGGTACAAGAGAACCCCCCCCCCCCCAAGTAATTGAAACAGCTCTGCTGAACAGTTCTTTGCAAATGCAATGTGACAGAGAGAAAAATATGTTTTTAATGCATGTACTCTCATGAAAGAGGCTTCAAATAGGCTCTAGTCTGTGTTCAGTCACAGAGTTTCCACCAATGTTTCTGTTGTCACAATTTCACTTATTCCACTGCTAAACTTCCTAAAGAATCCAAAAGCTGACAGCTCCACTCTATAAACAGGACAGTCAGAACCTATAATGTCTACCATCTTACCCATTATTACTCTATCCCAGAAATCAACCAGGATTTTAACAGAATCACCAGCCAAGGTAACAGGAAAATCCCGAAGAGCCAGACTTGCTCTTGGAGTGGACCATCTTAATTGCTCAGCCAAACCTCTTAAGGAGCAGAGTCCTAATCAGTGAACCCAACAAGGAAGTAGTCTACCCATGACAATTGAACTATAAAACAACTATAAAGCCATGTAGCTATAAAGCAGAAATATTTAAAGTCCTCTGCATCCTATATTCCACTCAGCAAAGAAAACACAATCTAGAGCAGTGGTTCTCAACCTGTGGGTCCCCAGATGTTTTGGCCTTCAACTTCCAGAAACCCTACCAGCTGGTAAACTGGCTGGGATTTCTGGGAGTTGTAGGCCAAAACACCTGGGTTCCTACAGGTTGAGAACCACTAGAGTGTGTCCTAGCAATATGAATACGATTCCTGGCATATCGCAACTGAGACTGACTGCACAAAAGGCAGTAACAGAAAGGCAGTGATATCCAGAGTTTTTTCCATATCCAGGAGTCCTCGTGGACAGCAAGTTAAACATGAGCCAATAATGTCATGTGGCAGCAAAAAAAAAAAAAAAAAAAAACCAATAGGATTTTGGCTAGCATCAATAGGAGCATAGTGTCTAGATCCAGGGAAGTCATGCTATCCCTCTATTCTGCCTTGGTTAGACCACACCTGGAATATTGTGTCCAATTCTGGGCACCACAATTCAAGAGAGATGTTGACAAGCTGGAATGTGTCCAGAGGAGGGCGACTAAAATGATCAAAGGTCTGGAGAACAAGCCCTATGAAGAGCGGCTTAAAGAGCTGGGCATGTTTAGCCTGAAGAAGAGAAGGCTGAGAGGAGATATGATAGCCATGTATAAATATGTGAGAGGAAGTCATAGAGAGGAGGGAACAGGCTTGTTTTCTGCTTCTCTGGAGACTAGGACACGGAACAATGGCTTCAAACTACAAGAAAGGAAATTCCATCTGAACTTCCTGACTGTGAGAGCCGTTCAGCAGTGGAACTCTCTGCCCCTGAGTGTTGTGGAGACTCCTTCTTTGAAAGCTTTTAAACAGAGGCTGGATGGCCATTTGTCAGTGGTGCTTTTAATGCAATATTCCTGCTTCTTGGCAGGGGGCTGGATGGCCCATGAGGTCTCTTCCAACTCTATGATTCTATAAATGAAAAGCTGCACTACAGTAAGAGATGGGATGCAAAGCAAAAGCAAGTTGGACATGAGGTTGTGCAATAAGTACTGGCCAAACACACTACCATCCTGCTTCAATGCTACTTTGGCACTCATCTGATAAAGTCCCATGTTTCTACACAATCATTTCAAGAGACACAAGTTGTGTTGAAAATATTTCTAATTTCAGAGCCTGTGGTCATTCTTTATTAATATCAACAAAGAGCAATAGGGAAGCAAAGGAAAAATCTGGGTGCAGTTGAGGAAGGAAAAAAATGGTTGTGCACCTTGTCAGAAAAAAAACCAAACATGACAGTTCATCACGCAAAGGCTGAATGAGCCTTGCTATATACAGACTGTCCTTAACCCATTTGTACTCATGAATGAGGGACATACGTTTGTCAAGAGGAAAGAAACAAACAATCGATGAGTTCCAGATAGTGACAAAAACGTGAGCAGGATAATCATGAGAGGAAGTAAAGCTGTTATTTGTTTTATTACCATATTTTTAACCCACCCTATACCATAAGGTCTCTGTGTGGCTTTCAATAAGATCTGTTTAAATTACTTAAAATTGAAAACAGTAAAAATAAGTGACACCTTTCAAAAGAGGCTTCACTTAACCATTTAAATAGTTTACAATCATGAACATGTGTTTGGATTAAATCATTAGCCTCAAAAGGTTTAATCTTTGAAAAAGTGCAATTTTAGTATCAGTATGAAACCACATCAGAGCCAAGAAAGGACATTCCACAACCAGGCTCTTGCAAATTTAACGGATATACAATAGGATAACTACTTCAGAAGCCAATTTAAATTCTGCTAGAATACAAGATCCAATATGAATAAATGTAAATGGGTATTAGGAAAATAGACAAACATCTCATTCTTCTACTTGCTCATTTAATTACTGATTTAAATGATTTTTTAATAAAAAAATGAGAATGAAACAATCTACATTTTGATTAAAAAATCTCCTAAGAAAATACAGGAAACAGCAGAATAAGATCCTTTTATTTATTTTTGGTCAAATTACAGTCATCAAACATAAAACAACATGATATATTAGGACTGAAAAATAGTTTGAAGCTTTGACAATTTTAGAATAATTAAAACAATACTCATTTTACAGCTTTATTTGATCTGCCATCAACACAAATTCAAATGAATTAGTTGTGACCTACATTACTTTTGATACATGGCTTGATTTTGTAATATGTAATTAACTTACTATGAATTCACAGCTAACTAGTTTGACATTTTAGACTAACAGGTTTCTGCTATCATTTGAACAGCAATAACACAACCTTGGAAGGTGGCTATAAAGGAACTTCAGCTCCATTTCTGCCAGCATCACTTTAACTGTCTTGTGACAAGATGATTTTGCTTAGCCTCCTGTCAGTTATCACCTTGATGCATTCTGATCTTATTAGTGCTTTATCAATGTATGTGGGGTAAGACCAAGTGAACATACAAGTACAGATTGAGCATCTCTAATCCAGAATTCTGGCATCCGAAATACTCCAGAATCTAAAATCACCCACATGGTTGTCTGAGATAGTGTCCCTTCTCCTGTCTGATGGTTCAGTTTACCCAAACTTTGTTTCATCCACAACATTATTAAAAATATTGTGTATGCAATTATCTTCTGGCTATGTATTTAAAGTGCATAGGAAATATTAATTTCATGTTTAGATATGGGTCCCATCTCCAAGATCTCTCCCTATCTCTCTCTCTCTCTGTGTGTATGTATGTGTGTATATCCCAGTATTCCAAAATCTGAAAAAAATGGGACTTTTCTACTTCCAAGAATTTTGAATAAGGGATGCTCAACATACATATTTTGAATTATGTCATGTCTTTACAAGATGCCATCTTTTTGGGCATGCCAACAGGCAAGTTTCCACATGAAAGAAGTAGAGAGGAACAGAACTTACCTTTCCACCTATAGCTCCTTATAAAATATTCCATGCTTTTTTTTGGAGGGAGAGGTGCTTCACAACCTTCGTTAAACTATTCTTTGGGGATGCAGGGAGATGTGGTTGGATGTTGTGCCTGAGAAGGTCACTGCACATGGAGAACACCACTAGGATATGCAAACACTGCTAATTCTGATCTTCAATAATATATGAGAGATCTAGCAGCAGACTGGCTGTCTCCACTGCAACCTGCAGGGCATTCCTTTTTGCAGAAAAACAATCAAGAATCAGATTGTCAATGGAGGTTACAGAAGACTCATGAATACAACTTTGTGGGAGGAAAGGACTGGCACAGGACTGGAGCATCCTCCAATGGAGGTCTTCCTCTTTATCGCAAAGACCACATCCACACTTCCAAATTAGGTCTGACCAGTCAGAGCTGTTGGGAACATCAGGCGGAACAGACCAAAAATGACTCCACTTTGTATCAGTGAGAATGTTTCCTCCATCATGGTCTAAGCAGCAAGCTACAGACTCTAGTGAAGAGCAAAAGGCATTGGCCACCATCCTGAACTCTGCCTGAGAACAGGACAGATCTTCCAAGGTACTTCTTTCCACAGTAGAGGTCTAGAACAGAAAAGATGGGGAAAGACTATTAAAGTGTTACTCATTGTTCCAGCAAATTATGACAAATAAGCAGCAGAGCTGCCGACATGTCTCATTATATTCAATGGATTATAGGTGAGCAAGAATAAGCACATCACATATCCACAGAGATTCCAATCTTTCTTTCTCCCTTACCCATGACTACCTTGTCACCTTTCATACTCCACTATAATTGTCCTGGACTTCCGCCAGCACTATTGTTCACCGGACAGAGTGGTAGACGTCTCCTTCCTTCCTTCCTCCCTCCCTTCCTTCCTTCCTTCCCTCTCTCCCTCTCTCCCTCCCTCCCTCAGACAAAGCCTTCAGGAAGGTGTTAGATTGACACAAACGAGTTTAGTAAACTATAGTTGCAATCTTCAGATTGTGAATAGATTCAAACACTCAGATCTCCTTTTGTAAATAAGTTCTAAATTTCAGGTTTTACAAAATGCATGCTGGGGGGAGGGGGGGGGTAATGCTATATGATTTTTAAACTTGAGACAGCTTGGTACCTTAGCATGTCAACAGGCAACCCTGTCTTGCACAATACTTTTGGCTTGCAAATTTTGAGGAAAATGAAAATGATGGCCAAAGATGCTGTATTTATTTTTTTCGGTCCATTTTCGTGGTTGAGATAAAAAACCATAAACAACACAACAATAAGGGAGGGATAGGCAAAGGAGGTGACCCATGGACATTACATGGGAGGATAAATATATTGTTAAATATAAGGAAGGTGATTTTGAGCTCAAAAAATAACCAAGGGCCTGAACGACCTCCTTCTACATACCCTTCTTTTGCTTTACTTCACAGCCTATCCAAGTACTTTGTCTTCTAAATGCACAAAAACCCTGAATCACAGACTTCTGCAAAATGTGCAGAAGATCATTAACAGTGTTTCACTACTTCTCATAATCCCTTATAAACTGGCCAGACTTAAGTACATTAAACAGCTTTAAATACCCTTCCAAAGCTCTACATACCATGTGCCTGATGTATGAGGACAAATGCATTTCTGTACAGCCGCCACCTAGCAATACCCAGGGATCACGGAGGGTTAACTGCAAAACATGTTCTGCTGTTTGACAGGCAAACTATGGGAAATAAACCACACACTTTGTTATTAAACAAACAAGCAAACAAACATATAAACAAAGGAAGCAACCACCAGTTACATGAGGAGACTCTTTAGGGATCTATTTTTGGAGAATTCTGCTCACACAGCACAATTTCCTAAAATACAATAATTTTACACTTTATCCATGGAGCTCTGCACAGTGTATAAGAGGGCTTATCCTGTTTTAGCCGCACAAGAACCATATGAGGTGATTCTAGCAGCCAAGTTGCTTCTGGCTCACAGCCATACCACACATGAGCTTTAATGCTGAGTAAAGAATTGAACTTGAAGTGTTCTGGATACATCTTCTTTATCAGACATGTAAAAAACGAAGACAGAGTTGGGGAAGATCATGGTAACAATACATGCAAAGGGGTCAGAGCCCCTCAGGCGTATATTCCAGAACCCCATACCATGAATGGCAACTGTGCATCCTGAAGGAAGCTTCTGTCCAGCATCATCCCTTGCCCCACTTTGAGAGGATCAAAATAGAGATTAATATCTGTCTCAAGAGAATGCAATTCTCCATTTAAATGCCTACCCATGCAAATTTTAGTTAGGCCCAAATTATCATTTTGGGGCGAATCTATATGTTTCTACATGAGTTCAGGAGTGGTGAAAAATGAAGAAGGTGTGGCTCCTGGACCCAATTTGTTTGCTTACCCTGTCATACCTGAACAAGGCAGATGTAAAGATCAGGCAATACAGATGAAGCTTTTTCTCTTGCTAAAAGTTCTGTTTCGATTTTGCTCAAAATTATCATTCAAGGCTGAGAACTAATAGGAGTCTTTTGGAAGCCAGTAAGTTAATCCAGGAACAAGATCAGGTGTAGGCAGCCCTTCGCCCTGCCAAGGTTTTACACTTCTGCTCTTACTGTCTCTTATCACTGACCAAGCTGAGGTGCAAATCATCTGAAGGACCAAAGGTTCTTCACTCCTGAATTGCCCTAAGCTGCAGTTAAAAGAAGATTGCTGTCCAAGCAAAGTCCTGTTCTGATCAGGAAACCCTTAGTTCCAGGGAAAGATACCAAAGAACCCTTTGTTTCCCAGGGAAATGGCCCACATTTTAGTTACTTCACACAGCAACTGCACACAGACTCATGTGTTTGTATTCCTAGCTCTAGCCTTAGCAGTTCCTTGTGCTATTCTCTCTCAGTACAACCTATCTCACAGAGTTGTTGAGATTAAAATGCTATTCTGAACCTCCCAGAAAGAAGGATAATGAATACATGTTAAGCATAATATTAGAGTTTGGTGTACTAGTTTGAATGTTGGCATTTGACTCTGGAGACCAAGCTTCAAAACCTGATCAGACGTAGATGCCTACTGGGTGATCCTGGACAAGTCTTATTGTCAGAAGAAGGCAAAAGCAAACTCCCTCTGAACAAATATACCCAAGAAAAATAGTTTATCTTAGTGTCCCCATAGGCCAGAAATGACTTGAAGGCACACAATGATAACAATTTCATAGAGTATGGGCAAGCAAATGGATGCCCACAAGCCACATGTGGCCCCAAACCCAACTTCCATGGCCCACCAACCCCCCCCCCCATAAAGAATCTTGCATGTTTTTACAAAAACTGGATTTTTTTCAGCACCCCCCTCTCCACGCAGTGTTCACAACATGTGAAAACACATGAAAATACTCCTACTTCATCGCCACGAATGTCCCAGAGTCCAATACTACTTGAAAATACTTCCATTTTCTTTTGCAATCAACATGACAACAGGAATAATCCAATGAATGGGCCTGCTATGCAGGAATAAATCTATGCAGGGGAGATCTAGAGGGAAAAATAACCCCTGCCCAACCCTATTATACAGGTTGCCTTCTGAAAGCTAAACACAGCTTGATGATAAAAGAGTTGCTGACAGATTCTCCAGAGCTCTCTCTTGCTCTCTAAAGCAGAGTGTCTTTCGATAATGTAATGTCTTAATCCACATGTGGGCAAGGACATAACCCTTGTCTGTTCTTTCCATGGTCTCAGGAGCTTTAGTGCACTCTGCCTACTTTTCCTTACATCAGCTGATCAAACACTGGCAGCAGTAGGAAAGAGAATGCCGTATCTCTGCTTCTAATACCAGTAGGAAAACAACACTCTCAGCTTGAGGGCAGCAGCATGAAGTTAAATCCTCTTGCTCCAGCTCAGTGGTTCCCAATGCAAGGACAGCTGTTTCCTCACTAATAATAATGATGGTGAAACAACAATCTGTATCAGGATTATTGAAGGTGCACACTAACAACAGGGGAGAAATAGCAAATCTTTGCATCAAGATTACTGGGAAGAGGGTGAGGTTGAAATCCCCTTCTTCCAATCTTGATAGAAATACAGCATGCTGCTAATAGAAGGAGGAAAATAATTACTTGAATTGGGGTTTGGGCAAAATTTAAAATCTATTCCCTCATTCCATTATTTCATCTTCGTGAACAGGGAGCAGTGGTAAGAATTCGCTCCCCAGCGAGATTAGATCGGCGTCCTCCCTCCTTACTTTTAGGAAAAAACTAAAGACGTGGTTTTGTAGTCAGGCCTTTGGCTAGTGGGCACAACAGCACTTTAGCCACTGAACTCAGACAATAGGATTGTTTGAAAATTGGAAATGGCTTCATGACCTGTGATTCTGTGATCTGTTCTATGTGGTTATGTAATTTTAATTAATATCACTGCTTAATTGTTATGTAATGGATTTTATATTGCTGTTTTATATTGTTGTTTTGATACTGTTGGCATTCAATAGTTGCCTGTGTTAGCCGCCATGACTCCCCCATTGGGGGTGAGAAAAGCGGGGTAGAAATGGTCTAAATAAATAAATAAAATAAATAAATGTGTCATGTGCATATACTCAAGGCCAAAAATACATCCCACTCGAGTCTTAGACCCCTAATGTCAGACAGAATCAAGATATATAGTAGGCTTGGCTTATTTTGTTACGACGTGCTTCCTCAAGTAGCAGAAGACGTCTGTTTGTTTTAGTCTGTGATTTTCCTCAGCCGTGTATCTTGCATTATGTATGCTTTGTTTTGTGACTCGCCACTGGGAGGTAAACATGATCTTGATTTCTAGATCTAATTACTGAGGCATGTATCCTTGAGGAAATCCCACTGTCCAAGCCAAGACTGGATAATCCATGGGGATGCACCTTTCTTTTTAATATTGAGTTTGAAACTAATTTGCTCGATAAAAATATCTCCTTTCTGTCAATGTAAGCAAAGATGTGTTAGCAGAGTATTCTCCAAAAGACTCAGTTTTTAATCACGTGACCCTTCAAAAGTATATCTGAAAGTAGGCATTTCAGTAGGTAATTGTAGAGATACAGACCTTCAATTCATCCCATGCTGTTTCATTCCTATTACACAGCATCAAACTGCAGACAACTGGGTCGTTAGGAATCAGATGAAAGAACCATTTTGAAGCAATAGACAGAGTTTGCAAATCCTTCAGATAGCCACAGCAAGCAGGAGACAGGAACTGTAGAGAAGGTATCGGCTGAGCACCTGTTCAAGAGAGAAAAAATAATGTTATGCACTATCTTAAAAACAGAAAAGCCAAATAATCTTTAGTGTAGCATAAAACTGGATTCAGTTTGATATAGAAATGCGTCATGGTCTTACCCAGGAGTGCAAATCATGTGACCTTCCAGATGTTTCTGGACAACAACTTCCAACATTCCTTGTTACTATCTATGCTGACTAGGACAGCTGGGACATGCAGTATAGCTATATTTGGAGTGATCCCTTATATACACTCCTGGATTGATGAATTAGTAGCATTAGTGCTCACAGATGTTAATAGACGGCAGTTTCTATCATCCCTCACAATTGGCTGTATTGACTATGGAAGTCCTAGTTCAACTACATCTACAGAGTAACATATTGACCACTTATCATCTGGACAACTCTGCTTTCCTTGACATATTTTCAATCATTCTGAAAGTCAAAAGAACAGCAGTTTTGGGAACACTGGACCTTGGGGTTAATTCATTTGTGAAAGAATAACATCGGGATAGAACATTTTGGTTTCTTTCTTGTCCATTTGATATTTTTATACCTTTTAAAATGTAATCATGTTTTAATATACTGTAATAAATTAATTGTGCTCTAAATTTCTATTCAGATTTTTTTTTATCTTATCCTGTTTCAGTTTGTTTTGTTTTGAAAGCTTCCTTGGAGCAGTGCAATGAGAAGGGCGACATATCAGTACCATACAAGAATCGGGAAAAAAATACTTTGCACAAAGATTAATTACCTTCCTGTCATCGGTTATAGAGGGCTACAGGTTTAGATGATTTTAAAAGAGATTAGCCAATAGTTACAATATCTCCTTTTGGATTCTTTACAGAATTTTTAAAAGATTGTCAGATTTGTCAATAATTTTTCAATAATTTTGCCAATATATCTAATTTAGCCAAATCTATTCTATAATATTTGGGAGTCTTATTATAGTCTCAGTATGTCACATACACCAATCTTGTCATATGGCATATTACTCTTTTTAATCTTATTTTCCAAATCTAATCTAATTAAGAGAAACAACTAAGGTCTAAATGTTATTTCTGTTGTCAAAAGCTTCTCCATCATTGCACTGATTGTTAACCAAAAATGTCTTCCCTTTTCACGAGTGAAATAATTATTTATGTTTATTAATAATTATTATGTTTATTACTTTTCCAGCACTTTTTATTCAAAGGGATGCACTGTAACTATAGGTTCTGATATACAAAGAAGAAAATATTTTCTCATTATAAGGAAAAATAGAAAATATAAAACTTGTAGTTTAAAGAGGAAGAATGCTGTACATAAATTAGCACACTAGTCAAAAAAGAGCGGGAAGCCAATTCTAATGGGTAGTAGGGATAGGAATGATGCATTATTTATTGTTTTTGAAATCTATTGTTACAGATAAATTACATACTGAGTGTGATACAAAATGTATCAATTATAAAAAACAGATTAGCCAGATCTATGAATGATCAGCCTTATTACCTATCACAGACAAATGTAACCTTTTTGTTCAACATGGAGTTTATAAAGTTAGGTTTTATTTTGTTTTGGATTGCAACTCCAAGCCTGTAAATCTGTGGTTCCCAAACTTTTTTTGACCAGGGACCACTTGAATAGGGACCACTTTGACCTGGGACCACACTCTAACATTAGCACCAAAAGGGTTAAAATCAATTTTTGGTCAACTTTAGATTCAGTTTGGTTATTTGGGGTTCTGATTCAGAAAATTGCATTGGCTAGACCACATCAGCTCTAGTTTCTGATACAGAACATATGCCATCCAGTAGTTGCCATCTGCTAGTCCACAGAAAACCATATTTAATCATGTAGAGCTGATGTGGCAGTAGTAATCTTTCGCTTCGCCCCTTCCGACATCCCTGTTGCCTCGGCACTGTAAGAGGGGTTCACAAGACCAGTCACCCTCGTTGCCACGTGGTTTTGAGGCAGCAGTGTAGTAATGGTGAGGTCGTGGACCACATTTTCGTTCTTGCAGACCACTGGTGGTCCACAGACCATAGGTTGAGAACCACTGTCATAAACCAAACAGGCATTTCCATGCTCTGATTAATTCTTATTTGGAGTCAACTTATAGGGAATGGAAATTTCTTTTACTTTCTGCTTATCGATGCTCTAAAACAGCAAAGGAAAAACTCCAGCCTGGGATCAGGTCTAGTTCTTGGGGCCTCTTTTGCTTTGTTCTCTCTTGCCCACTGACCCTTTAAAAACGAGGGAGAAGCAATCAGTTCTTGAGAGAATCAAAGGATCTCTCAAGAACTAATTGCTACCTCTTGAGGTGAGAATTCCCTAAAATAAATCTCATGAAAAGAAAGGCAGAGCAAAGTGATACAGACTTTGGGCATCTGGGGAATGTATCCTGAAACACTCATTATGGAAAGATCAGTTCTCACTTCACTTCTCTACAGAAGTGATGTGGAGTAGCAGGAGTGTTTATATCTCTGCCCACTGCTGGCATGCATCCCCCAACATGTTTCTTTGATGTCAATATGATCCTCAAGGGCAGAATAGCTTCCCATCCAATCTTGTTAGTCACTGTGGACACTGGACACGGATAAACTCTTAGGTGGCTGCAACTGGAATATTTGCAGTGGGATTCATTTAAGGAAAGGCTAGGTGGCACAACTGACTCTACCATCAATATTTCTGCATTTTCACAACAGGCTTTCAGATAACTTTCCTGAGACTTGCAAAAGGATGTGATACCACAGAGGACAGGGACTACAAATAACCTGCAATTTTCCATGGATGAACAGAAACATACTGTTTGAATAAAGGGTTCTTTAGGTCTTTGCCAGTATCTTATGTTTTCATTTTTACAATGCTGTCAGTGAGTTTATTGTTTGTGTCTACACTTTCATTTCTATTTTAGTTTGTGTCTACACTTCCATTTCTATTTTAGAAATACCAGAACTCTGAGATTTCTTAGGAGCTGTGGTTTTGCTACAAGAGCTAGGATTTTTGAGGCTGCTGTGCAAACACAAGCTGTGCTTTACTGTATGTATGGGTATTTATGTTTACAGAGGAGATGGTAATGGAAAATATCCCTCAGCTTTCTGGGAGATATTTCCCTTGAACGTTTCTCCTTTTAGGCAGAAGACAGCAATGTACCCTCTATGTATTTGAAAGGGAATTGTATTGGACATCAACCTTATGCTGGGATATTTCAATTCCCAAATGGAATAGGTACACATAACAGTCTGGAAGAGGATTTGGATTGCTCTATCTCAGCAATTCTGCCCGTTTTTACCAGGCAGTAAACATATGTCTGTTATATCCAAAAAGCAGAGCAGAGCTTGTACCATGGAATGCAAATATGGGCAATGAATATACAATCAAATAAATGATTTAATGCAGTTTTTTAAAAGAAAAAACCCCCCAAAAATCCATCTTCACGTAGGAAAGGGTTTCAATTGACCTTCTGTTATACTAACTTTCCACATACATGTTTTTTCCTGCAAAATATCCAGTCACATCAGCCACCACTTGTACTCAAATATAAACCCAATTGTTGCTCCCAGCCAGATACTGGGATTTTTGTATGTACTGGTGTATTATTTTATTTATTTGCGGTATTTGTATACTGCCTTTCTCAACCCCAAAGGAGACTCAGGGAGGTTCAAGTGTTGGCAACAATGCAATGCCATCCATAAAAAAGCTTTAGTGTTGGAGTGGGAACTAGACATGGAAGAATCCCCATTTTAAAGAAATGAGCAAGGCAAGTCTTTGAAAATCTAAATATGTATTAATCTGTGGTACTGCAAATAACTCTTTTAAACATTAGGATGTAAGAAATAGTGCATTAACGTGTCACTGTAGCATCTGCTTAGCTTTACACACCATGTTCAAACTGCAAGTTTTAATTACCAATCCAACGGAATCTAGTAGAGCTCATGAGCAGAATATTCACAGCAGATCTATGCCAGTAGCATATAAACTCAATTTCCCTTGATAATAACCTAACAGAGCCACTAAGGAGGAATGTGTATTTGTTACCTGTCATTTCTTTCAGGGGCTCCATCAACGACAGTCCAGCTCTTTCTATTGCCACAACGTGGTTCTCCTTCAGGTATTGTTGTAATGCCGGATGGATGACTTTCTGACACACAAAAACACCAACACCAACCTTTACTATTTGCTTGCCTACATTAAGCAACTGAGCTAAGACTGCTGCTTCTAAATAAACTCCTTGTGGGATGACAATGACTCCTTCTCCATTCTCAGACAGGTCTCCAGACAGAGACATACTGAAAAGCACCATCTTGATCATGCCTGAAGTATCTCTTTTGATTGGAGGTGTATTTCTCAGGACCATTTCTGGCACTTCTATCAGAAGTCCAGGATATACAGCAGAATCCAAAACCTGTTTGTTCTTTACAGGGATATAAAGACACTTTCCCAGAGTCATTTGAGTATCGATGTTTTGTGGAATTGTAAATAGAAAGGCCTCTAAAATCAAAATGCTGATGTGATTGGCTTCCATTCTGCTAAGCCTGCCAGCAGGTTTGCTAGTTATTATACTATGGACCAGATCCAGGGGGATCTTGGAACTGCTAAAATCCACCTGCATTCTACAACCACATGTTTCAGATGCAAGATAGTCAATGCACAGGCTCAAAAGGCGTTGGCTGATTCTAATGAAAGTGCAAGGGGCGACGTTAAGGCCTTGACATTTTTCAAGCAGGCTGCAGCAAAAGATGGCCATAAACAAGCCACAGTCGCTGAAGCGTGCGAGATGGTTCTGCACAGAGGCTGTCAGAAGCTTTAACACCGGATGAGTGACTGAAAGGCCACCGAGCAAAGCTGAAGACTGAGACGTTGTGCGCACATATCCACCCACACCGTTGTGCAGTTGCTTAAGCCTCCCTGTGGGGCCATAGCAGGACCTCACCATTTTATCAAATACTGACAGAGCATGGCAAAGAGTCTCCTTAGCTAACGGTTCGCTAGTACATAAAGAAGGCTTTTTGAGATCAACGCGAGACATCTTTCCAGATAAAATCCCAGTCAAGACTTAGATGCATCTCATGTCTATAAGCCGCTTTTTAATGAACGATGTACACACAAGTGAGAACAAGGCTGCTGTATTCTTTTGTGGTCAAGGCAAAGCGTATGGACACAAGCTACCTTTATCTGATATTTAATAAAATCACTAAATGGGCAGTCTGTATGATGTCGGCAGAAATGGGGTCATTCATCAAGACCTTTTGATTTAATGTCCAACCCTGATTTAGCAGAGGACTTTGCAGCTTTTTGTACAAGGTAGGTCCCCAAATGAACACCAACAAAGGTGAGTCCAGCTACAAGTAGCCAATTCTTCCTAATCCAGCTGATTTTCTTCATCTCTTTTGTTCAAGTGCAATCTAGCTGTAATTAAAAAAAAGAAAAGAAAAGAAGATTTCATGAAATTACAATCACAGTTAGCTATTTTCTTTTTTAAAAAAACTTTTGGGTAAATTGAACGGCCTCCTCTACTACATGTGGCATTATCACATAGTGGACATTCAAAATGGTTGCCAATTTTCCCTCCATATAAAATCCTTTATGCTATTTTCTCAGTTCACATCTTTACACAACAATTTATTCCAAACTGTACAAACTTTTAGACTGTCATTCAGTTTGGGCTAACTGAAAATTGTTTCAGGAGATGTATGTAAGATGATCTGGAACACAATAACTTTAGAAGAGATGTAAATCAAGGGTGGGAAGCTTCACATTTTTTAACAGTAGGGAACTGCCTAAATGGTCATGTGAAATATGAGATAACATGGGATTAAAAGGGTCAAATCTCTCTCCTAGTTATAGTAACAGAAGAAATAAAGCTGAATAGTATTGACTTTAATGCAGTGGTTCCCAACCTGTGGTCCATGGACCACCAGTGCTCCCCAAGAACAAAAATATGGCCCGTGGACTCAGCATCCCTGCACTGTTGCCTCAAAACCACATGGCAATGAGAGCGACTGGTCTCGTGAAACCTTCTTATAGTGCTGAGGCAACAGGGATGTCAGCAGGGGAGAGGCTGACTACCCATGAAATATTACTACTACCACATCAGCTCTAGATTATTAAATATAGTTTTATGTGGGCAAGCAGATGGCAACTACTGGATGGCATATGTTCTGTATCAGAAAACAGCGATGATGTGGTCTATCCAATGAAATTTTCTGAATATATAAATATTGTCTTACACACGCACATACACACATGTGAAAGGCAATATTTATATGAGAGGATCTTTTTTTTCCTCGTTTTATGCTGATATGCCTGTTTAATCTTCTAGATCAGCTGAGAAGCTGCAAGCTTGTAATTAAATGGGGGGAATAACTACCTTTCTATGCTCAAACAGACTAGAGGAAGGGGAGCCAACACCACCTTTGGTAATAATCTTGGAAGCTTGAACCCGAGGAAACTAAGAAAAAATGTATTTTGAAAAGGCAACAAACATGAGAACCATTTTAACAGCTTTAGTATGTGTTGCTATGACTTATGCAGGAATGCTTTATTTACAGCTTCACAGTGAAGGCAGGTGGCAAACTATAGCTGCACTACATCTTTCTCACTGCAGATGTGATGCCATGCCTGAATCTAGTTTTTCCACAAATACGAAAAAACATAGTTGAAAACGGACAGTGGATCTCAATTTGTGGGTCCGCAGATGTTTTGGCCTTCAACTAACAGCTAGTAAACTGGCTGGGATTTCTGAGAGTTGTAGGCCAAAACACCTGGGGACCCACAGGTTGAGAATCATAATAATAATAACAATAACAACGGCAACTTTATTATTGTACCTCACCTCCATCTCCCCGAAGGGACTCGGGGCAACTGACATATGGCACAAAGTGCCTAAGACAAAGCATAAAATAAACACACAGTGCAATACAATAAAGTAAAAACTATAGCATATAAAAACAATTTGAAACTCAGAATCACTGCCTTAACTTAAAGCCAGCCAACTCCCATATTTAAATGTATGTCAGCAACTGAAAAAGGAAAAGCTAGCAAGCTCGCTGGTTCACATTTGGAAGGAATGTAATAGCCCACCTTCTCTTTAACATTTGCTTATCCCAATACATTCTTCTAATTAAAGAGGAAAAAATGGAAACTGGGATTTTTTTTTCATGTCAGGAACGACTTGAGAAACTGCAAGTTGCTTCTGGTGTGAGAGAATTGGCCGTCTGCAAGGACATTGCCCAGGGGATGCCCAGATGCTTTACCATCCTGTAGGAGGCTTCTCTCATGTCTCTGAATGGGAAGCTGGAGCTGACAGACAGGAGCTCAACCCACTCCCTGAATTTGAACTGATGATCTTTCAGTCAGCAGTCCTGCTGCCACAAGGGTTTAACTCATTGCACTATCAGGATCGTTAAGATCATAGAAGTTATACTTGTAGCCTGATCCCAAGCTAACAGTTTTGCCACAGTATAAAAAACAAAATTGAAATGGTCAGATGTACTCATGTGTAAGTCCAGAAATTTCGGTCAACCCCAAAAAACGTAAGTCAATGTAAGTAGTGTACCTTACCTCTTATCAAAAAAGTTTTCAGCACACTTCACTATTTGTTTCATGTAACAAGGGTAGGCAAAGTGGGATCCAGAAGACTGGGCCCTAGGACCCATTGAAGTTGCCCCCCCCCCCCCCCCGCACTGCAAAATGTACTCTTTATTTATTACTGTTGAGAATGGCTTAGCTAACTTTGCCTACTGTGTCCACAGCAGGATTCCTAATTTGAAGTCAACCACTGTACAACATCAGCTCTCAAAGGCTTTGTTATGCTGCTGCAGGTTTTGGTACTGCAAGCAAAATCATTCAAGAGTGGGAAGCACAGCAGAAAAGTACTTCGCCTAACTTGTCAATTGAATGTCTTGACTCTCTTAATTCATTTACACCGTGGCTAGACAGTGGAAGCCACCAATTTACTGGCCATACTTCAGCCCTGCTGCCACCATCACTACAAAGAGAAGATATTTTTGTTTTACTTTTTAAAACAAGGTTTGAGGTGTTGTGGTTCCAGGAAGCAGAATTATCCTTAAAAATTAGGTGCACATCTTGTGTGCCTTGTTCATAACTCAAAAAAGCAGTGAAGTGCTGGAAAAACAAAAGAAACAGACAAGCTTTGAAGCTGCAAGGCCATTCAATGCTCATCAAGGTGGCCATTTGCAACATTCAGATTTGCCTCAAAGAGACAAGAGTTCTTTCTCCCAACCTGGACATTATTCCACAGATATATAAACCTCACTTTCCTAGTTGCCAACAGACTTCACAACCTCTGAGGACGCCTGCCATAGATATTGGTGAAATGTCAGGAGAGAATGCTTCTGGAACATGGCCATACAGCCCAGAAAACTTACAGCAACTCAAATATTTTCTTTATTATAAGGAAAGTAAATCCAATAGATGCATTTTAGAAAGGAGGAATATTGTGTATAGGTTAACATGCTGCATCCAGAGAAGAGTAGAATGTGAATGAAATAGATGGTGCAGATAGAAATAATGTGCCATTTATTGATTTATTGATCATGTGTGTGTGTGCGTGCGTGCTGGATGTCTATTGCTTTTTGTAACACAAGTATTAAGTGTGATACTAAAATAAATCAATAAATAAAAATAATAAATAAAAAAGTTGTGATGTTGCTGTCTCCCACTGGGTAAATTTGGCTGCCAGGATGGTAAAAGCCAAGCCTCAGTGGGAGTTTCAAATATGATCAAGGGGCTGGGTGCGTGCTGTTTGTGATTCCTGAAGATTTGATCCCAAAAACTAAGCTTGTTTTAGAAAGGTATAATCACCTGGAAGATTGGTAGGATCTAATGCAAAAGACTATGTGCCATACATAGCTAGCTAGGGCAAGGGAAAACAGACTGCAAAGGAGGTCTGCCATTATATGATGCTGGGGATAAACAAAAAGATTAGGCTTGGGTTTAGCATTATAACAAAGGTCTTTTACATTCATATCACTTCTCTCATTTTGCTCTTGCTGCAGCAAGAACTTACCTTTCAGTCACTCTGCAGCACTGTGTGGTTATTTTCCTTTATTTTGTTTCTCTGCTTGCAGCACGTATGTCACGATTCCAGGCTCGGGGACAAAGTCATCTGTCTTGGGTTGGAAAAGAGGATGGGACTTGATGTTATACCAGCCCCAGTGTACCAAGACAAGGCTCGTTCCCATAACAATCAAAACTCTGTAGTTCTTCCAAATTGTTTTAAGGCCCATTGCGTGTCTTGGCCTTTACCTACATAAAGAAGTTGAGAGTCTTGAATACGGTCTACTGAACACAATTTGAGCACACTGGCTACTAAATGTACAGTGATAATAATAAAAAACAGAACATTTAAATAAAGCCTGAATGTTTGCATTTTGGCAGCCTGATCCTAACAATATTTTTTCAGAAGCATGAATAATCATGACCATGTCATATTATTTTATGAATGCAGCTTTGATTACCCATCAGCAGGAAGAATTACTGAATGGCAATTTATATCTCTTTAATCCGAATGATCTATCACTATCTAGCATGGTTATAGTAATATTAGGGAATGGAAATCTACCAATCTTTGATTCATGTCTTCCTATTATCTTTTCAAAAAATGAGAAAAATAGGTAAGAATACAAAAGTCACAAGGGAATCATAGACTGTTAGCTATGTATTGAGGCTTGTAGCACTACTGTGTGGTCCAAGGGTGGGCAAAGTGCAGCCTGTGGGATGCATGTGGGATGAATATAATATTACAGTATAGTGGTATAGTAAAATATAGTAATATATAGTACAAATATTGTGCTGTGCTAATAATATGATATACTGTGCATACATATAATATTGATAATATTATAATGTAATACAATATAATACTAATAATACAATATAATAATTTTGTATTTTATATTACATGTAATATTACTAATAGTATTACAGTATAGTGGAATAGTACAATATAATAATACTATTATTGTGCTGTGCTAATAATATAACATATTGTATGTACATATAACTTGTAAGCTGCTCCGAGTTCCCTTCTGGGTGAGAAGGGCGACATATACATGTCATAAATAAATAAGTCATCTAGGGATCAAATTATGCATTGTTTCTCAAAAAACAAACAATTATTTTGCAAAAAACTTTGGTTTTGCTACAAAATGCCTCAGAATCTCTACTAGGGATGCGGAGGGCAGTTCTATTATACTCGGAGGCTCCAAGTGAGCAGCCAGTGGCCTCTACTCATTTCCTCTTGTTCTAAAGGCCACAAGTAATACTGAAAATATTCTCATGTCCTCTAAATGGCATTTGGGAACATTTTGCGGCAAGTATCTTTTTAATTTTAGGAGGGAGTGGACAAGGTTAGGGATGCTGCTCCCAAAATCCCTGGGAGGGCTAATATACCCCTCTAGACTTCCACAGTTCTCCAGTATAGGTCATGTCTAGAAACAATATTATAAAGTGCTGCCAGCCATCGGCATGACTAGAGCATGGCATCATGTCAAGCTTCGGAGGGCTTTCATTGAAGTGGTCCATCTGTGCCTGGCTTATTCACCTTGAGGTTGTAGATCTTCCATATACAAATCAAAACTAAACTAAATCAGAATTCCTCTACACATGGGGAAAATAATATATCAAGGAAGAATCTCCTAACTTTTAACTATATTGTACTTAGGATTAATTGCTCTGGTAACTGGCAAGCCTCCTTCGCTTTATAGTATGCATATAGACTGATTTTTAACTTTTTTTCTGCAGTGATTTCTATTCAGAAGCATCTTCCTGTAGATTAGGCAAAATCTAGTGCACAAATACATTCTGAATACAGCTTGTTTGGTTTTCTAAAACAACAACACTGTTATCTTAAGCCTACAATCCTATGGCCACTCAAGGGTAGCAAGTACCTTTGACAGCTATATATAGAACTGCACTGCAGACAATTACTTCACCTTAAATGATCTTTGCTTTCCATGCAAACCAATTTGTTAACCCAACTACAATTGCAAAAATGAACCCGTGACCTATCAAACAATGCAATTTTCTGTTCTGCTTACAAAAAGGAAATTGGGACGAGAAGTGAGATCTGACTTTAAGAGATTAAGCATTGTGAGAAAACAGGTCAAGCAAACATTTAAAATATACTATACCTACAGTGAAGGCATTCTAAGTTCAAAGGGAGATTCAGGTTCATGCACCTGTCCTTGGTTATGTAAAGGCTCCACTTAGTTGTAAGCCATTCTGTTACAAGGCAATTACTTTGCTGTTCGTGTCTACTTATGAATTATGCAACAGGAGGAAAAAATCAAACAATTCAAGTACTTAATTCTGATTTTTTTTTCTTGATGACTTTAATAAATCTATCCTTTTTGCGTACTCTAAATGGACTCTGGCAGAAGTGGAGGGGAATCTTACTGATTCCTCATTTCTCTGCAGCCACAAAAAATATTGCTGGGCTGGGGAAATGAGGGGAGAGAGCTTCTAGGCCAGTTATGGAAGCTGTGTTAGAGGCTATGTAGGGAAATATGAGCCCCATCTTCTCCTTCCTGCTATAAGAGCCTCGATAAGTCCAAGAGGCCCTTCTGTCCACAAAAGAGCAGAGATAAATCCAACCCACTGTTGTTACCTGTGCCAGTTACACAAAAATGTAGATGGAGATATGTATTTAGGTGCAGCCTAGCTAGAGGTTATATAGGGCTCTTCCACACAGCCCTATATCCCAGAATATCAAGGCAGAAAATCCCACAATACCTGCTTTGAACTGGGTTATCTGAGTCCACACTCAATTCGCTGTGAAGCATTTGCTCGGTTCTTAGCGGACAAAGTCGCTCTGATCCATTCCGATTTTGATACCACGGTTACGAAAATATCTGAGGATGTAACACGAGTATCTGCTTGTCCAGTTTTGATGGATTCATTTCAATTGGTGCAGCTCGAGGACGTGGACAAGATACTTGGAGAGGCAAGGGCAACCACATGCATCCTAGACCCCTGTCCATCCTGGCTGATAAAAGAGGCCGGGGTGGTGGTGGTAGTGGCAGAGTGGGTGAAGGTGGTGGTTAATGCCTCCCTACAGGAAGGCAAGATTCCGGCAAGCTTAAAACAAGCTGTCATAAAACCGCCGTTGAAAAATCCATCACTGAACCCCACTCAATTCGGCAACTATTGGCCAGTTTCCCAGCCCCCCTATTTGGGCAAAGTCATGGAATGTGTGGTAGGTTCACAATTCCAGGGATTCTTGGAAGACACAGATTACCTAAATCCGGCACAGTCTGGCTTTAGGCCAGGACATGGAATGGAAACAGCCTTGGTCACCTTAGTAGATGATCTATGCCGGGAACTAGACAGGGAGAGTGTGTGTCTCTGTTGGTTCTTCTGGACCTCTTGGTGGCCTTTGATACCATTGACCACGGTATCCTTCTGGGACACCTTACGGGCATGGGACTCGGAAGCATTGTTCTGTAGTGGCTCCAGTCCTACCTGGAGGGACGGTCTCAGAAGATGTTATTGGGGGACACGTATTTGGCCCCACAACCTTTGTCTTGAGGGGGGGGGGTCCCACAGGGTTCAGTTCTGTCCCCCATGCTGTTTAACATCTACATGAAGCTGCTGGGAGAGATCATCTGGAGCTTCAGAGTACGGTGTCATCTGCACGTAGATGACGTCCAAATCTGTTACTCCTTCCCATCTGTTACTAAGGCTGTCCAGACCTTGAACTGGTGCTTGACAGCTATGTAGGGCTGGATGAGGGCTAACAAACTGAAATTGAATCCAGACAAGACAAGGTCCTTCTGGTTAGTCAAAAGACCGAACAGGACATAGGCTTACAACCTGTGTGGGATGGGGTTACACTCTTCCTGAAGTCTCAGGATCTCAGCTTGGGGGTGATCCTTTATTCATCAATGAGTATAGAATCCCAGGTCTCAGCAGTGGCGAGGGGAGCCTTTGCATAATTAAAACTTGTGTGCCAGCTATGCCCATACCTTGGAAAGTCTGATCTGGCTACAGTGGTCCATGCTCTTGTTACATCTCGAATAGATTATTGTAATGCACTCTACGTGGGATTGGCTTTCAATACTGTTTGGAAACTCCAACTAGTACAAAGGTCAGCAGCCAGACTACTCACCAGAGCGACATACAGGGAGCATACCACCCCACTGCTATGTCAACTCCACTGGCTGCCTGTCCATTTCCGAGCGCAATTCAAAGTGCTGGCCTTAACCTATAAAGCCCTATAGGGTTCCAGCCCAGTTTAGTTGTCCGAATGTATCTCCCGCTATGATCCACCTCGGATCATAGAGGGATATACATAGAGGGGAGGCCTTGTTCTCAATCCCGCTACCCTCACAAGCGCGATTTGTGGGGACGAGAGACAGAGTCTTCTTGGTGGTGGCCCCCCGTCTATAGAACGCACTCCCCAGTAAAATCAGGGAAACTCCCTCTCTCCTCTCTTTTAGAAAAAAGCTTAAATCTTGGCTTTGGGACCACGCATTCGGGCAGCTGACCAAGCAGCAATTGCAATGACTTATGAGAACTGTCAATGAATAGACCGTGGACTGGAACTCTGGATTATGATTTGGATTTGGGGACTTGGGCTTGGTTGTGTTTTAATACTTTAATGGTCAATATTTTAATGTATTTTTAATGTATTCTTATAATTTGTTGGTTTACTTAATGTTGATTGTCTGTTCTGCTATTGTTTATTTGCTGGCATCTAAAGATTGCCAGTTGTATGCCATCCTGAGTCCCCCCTCAGGGGTTGAAATAAATAATGTGGGATTTTCTGACTTGATATTCTGGGATATAGGGCTGTGTGGAAGGGCCTCGAGAGATCGTCACAAAAGGAGTATAGGAGATTAACTAGTCTAAAATCCACTTGAACACACACACACATACACCTTGCAGTTCACAACGCAGGCAACTATCCAGTCTAACCTCTGCTTAAATGCCTCTTGCAAAGATGAGGCCACCTCATCTGGAAGCAGTTTGTTCCCTTGTCAAATAACTTTTACCATTAAGACGTGTATTGGATCCATCTGTAATCCCCAAATTCAACTCACAACATGTTCAATATTGTACACATGAATCTGTGATGGGGAGCATGTCGGTTGCTTGCTTCTGCCTTCTATGGCTGCCCTATACCATTTTTAATAAAAACTTGAGCAGGCATATTTTTTGATATTAATATGGGACCCTGGAACCAATTCCCTGTGGACACCAAGGACGCAGTGCATTTCCCATTTTTGAAAAATGGCATTCATAACCTTTTGGGAAACAAGAAATCTGCACAGGCTTTTGGAAGTGTGATTCTTTTGGGGATTAATTGGTATTCACACTATTTGGAATAATCATAACCTTTTGGAAAGGCATCACCTTGTTAGAGATTGTAAACTTTGTAAGGTATGATCTTTCTGAGAAGAGCCAAAAACTTGTTTGAGTGAGTCCTCTCTTTAGTAATAAATAATATATCCACTAGTATTCATGCAAGGCAAATTAGGTTTCTTAGCTGTTAGACTGATAAACTTGGTTATCTTTGAACAGTTAGGAACAAAGATTATGCCAATGCTCAAAATATATAGCAGATCTTCAGAATTGTTATTTCAGTTGCCCAAAAACATCTGCTCTCCCATAAAATATATTTAGTTTAAATCATGCTCTCAAGAAACCAAAATAGAGTAAACTTTGTTAAAAGTAACATATCTGGTTTACTCACAACCTTCATGTATTCAGCATACAGGTACATTTCTTATCAATCTAGTTACAGATAGGATTTGAAGTGGTTTCTCTGTGCAGATAACACAGGGCATCTTTTTATAATCAACAGTCCAGCCTAAAGCATCTCTCTGTTCTAAAAATGGAGTCTGAGATCTGAATAGTCCCAGATCTGGTCGCATGGTCTGTAGTACTTCCCACAACACAGAGTTAAGGAAAACTGCATACCAATACACACATATACAATATAGTAAGCAATCTGAATCATATACATAACAAATAACTAGTATAGGAGGCTTGTAGAAGGTTGCTATTTCCAACACCTACTGCAAGATTTGGGAATTTATGGATTCACAGCTGGGTGCATAAAATCACAAGGAATGATAGGAGTCACTGTCCAACTAAATCTAGAGTCTTAACATTTAGTCAAAATGTGCTTCCTGAGAATGTTTTTATGATAGAATCAATGAGGAAATGATGAGTATAAGGGACAAAAATTGTGCTACATGGTGTTATTTATTTTGATTTCATGGTACCATATCTACTTTGCAAAGACTGAGACAAAGGAAGTACCTCTTAGAAATATTTTGAATCAAGAGATCAACCATTATCTCATTGACGTGGCTGGAAAAAAAGAAACATTTCTCAACCACAGTTAACAATGAAATGAGAGATCTGATGTGTCACTCTACTGTTTGCAGAACCAGCATGCTACAGTGGAAAGGACTGTACAGAAATTCAAATGTCTGAAGCTTGCTGGGTCAGTCCCTATCTCTCAGCCAAACCTATCTCGCATACTCTTTGGATAAGATGTAAGGAGAAAGTAAACTACTTAAGCCAACACAACCTATTACACCAGAGGTCCTCAAACTAAGGCCCGGGGGCCGGATACGGCCCTCCAAGGTCATTTACCTGGCCCTCGCTCAGGGTTAACCTAAGTCTGAAATGACTTGAAAACACACAACAACAACAACAACAATCCTATCTCTTCAGCCAAAAGAAGGCCCACATTTCTCATTGAAATACTAATAAGTTAATATTTGTTAACATTGTTCTTCATTTTAATTATTGTATTGTGTATAAGATATGTACAGTGTGCATAGGAATTCATTCATTTTTTTCAAATTATAATCCGGCCCTCCAACAGTTTGAGGGACTGTGACCTGGCCCTCTGTTTAAAAAGTTTGTGGACCCTTGTATTACACACTAACAATAGTAGAATACCATACATACAGTACTATGGTTCCCAAGAAGTTATAAAAGGGGCTGAAGACTAAATTCTCTCTTTCTCTCATTTTGACTATGTGACCTGTTGATAGCTGTTTTGTTATTAAAGAGATGTCCTGGCCAGGTGGCACATATAATTATCTCAAACATATCTGAAATTGGAATGATAACTACCTGTGTATGCTGAACATACAAAGGTTGTGAGTAAACCAAGTAACGGTTCTGGCCCGATCTACCTTTCCGAACGCATCTCCTCCTATGAACCAGTTAGGACATTAAGATCGTCTGGGGAGGCCCTGCTCTCGGTATTTGAAACTAGACTGATAAGTTTTGTACCTATGTGTGCTGAACTCACAAAGGTTGTGAGTAAACCAAGCATGTTATTTTTATCCAAGTCTACTGCACTGTTGTCTCTTGAGTGCATGATATAAAACAAGTTCTTTTATGGGAGAGTATATATATATATATATATATATATTGGGCACTAAAATACACTTCTTAAGCACTGCTGTTTTTATGCACTGGCAAATCTCTGTTTTCCTTACAGATCAGAAATAACAGGTTATTCAGTCTAATAACTAGGAGCCCCCGGTGGCGCAGTAGGTTAAACCCCTGTGCCGGCAGGATTGAAGACTGACAGGTCACAGGTTCAAATTTGGGGAGAGGCGGATGATCTCCCTCTATCAGCTCCAGTTCCTCATGCGGGGACATGAGAAAAGCCTCCCACAAAGATGATAAAAACTTCAAATCATCCAGGCGTCCCCTGGGCAACGTCCTTGCAGACGGCCAATTCTCTCACACCAGAAGTGATTTGCAGTTTCTCAAGTCGCTCCTGACACGACAAAAAAAAAGTCTGATAACTGAAACAATTGCCTCGCAAAATTATATTTGGTTGTATACCATAAAAGATAATTCTACTCTAAAGGGTTTTTGGCTCTTCTCTGAAAGGCCATGCTTTTTTAACAAAGTTTATGATCTCCAAAAGGTGTTTTCCTAAAAGGTTATGAATGCCATTTCCCAAAAAATCTCATTTCCTAATTGGTTCTATTATAAAAATATGGAGAAAGTTTATTAAACTGCAAAAACTCTGTCTTTGTATGAATGACATCGTGTTATAGCACCTTTTGTTATCCAGTCCACCGATTTAACATCGTCATCTATCCACTTAACAAAGTTTTGTAGCACAAAAACAAAGTGTAGATCCACTATGTTTAAAGTAAGCACCACACAATTAAACAGGAAACAATACTTTCAAACTAGGAATATATTTTCTTTTCTATTAAAAAATGTTGTTTGTAAAAACAACATTTTTACAAACAATCCGTGGATAACTGAAACTTTCTGAAATTTGGTGGGTTAAGAGGGGTAAATGTGTTCTACCACTGCAGCAAGTTTCACCCCAATAGCTGTAAAACGAGGGAGGGAGGAGCTTCTGAAGTTTGCCCAATTATAGTAATTATGAGCAACTATAACAAAGTAGTAACTACATTCGTTACAGTAACGAATTTCTCAGTAACTATGAAACACTTTAGAAACAAAACACCAGCTCTCCCTAGCAGTTAAAGTGGTGTCAAGCCGAATTAATCCTACAGTGTATTCAACCCATGACTCTGGAGGCCAGGGCTTAAATGCCCATAAGGCCATGGTGACCTTGGGCAAGTCACATACTCTCAGTTCCAGAAGGAAAGGCACAATTCCCTTCTCCCAACCCATCTCGCCCAGAAGGGCCCTTTAATAGGGTCGCCATGACTCAGAAAGGCCTGGAAGGCAACAAACCTCTCGCTCTTCCGAAGCCGACGAAGCGGCCTCTCTCCCTCGCCTCGGCTTTCCCCGGAAACAGAAGCAAAGGCGCGGGGACTCCACTTCCCAGAGTGCATCGCGAACGCCAAGGCTTGTGCCTACCTAGTCACGTTTCCCGGCGCATGCTGGGAAATGTATTTCAAGTCACACTTTCGAAGAGAGAGGCGAGGTATGGAAGAGAATTGCACAGAGGCTGCAAACGTAAACCGCGATTGGCTGCCGTCCGTCAGGCGGCGTAGCAGCGCGAGAAGAGTCTCTGATTCAACGCCTTTGTCGCCATTTTTGAATCGGGCGGAAGACACTGACTCTTCCCGTTGAAGTGAGCGGGACAGGTCAGAGGAGGACTCTCCATACCGGATTTCCTCTTTCTGTCTTTTTTTTCCCTTTGAAGCTTTGGCGCTCTTTTGGTCATCTGGATTAAAGGGACAGCGGCTCGTATGGAAAGCAAGGATCCTGTCCATCCAAGGTTTTCTCTCTCTTTTAGAAAAAAGCAAAGATATTACAGGTTGGGCACCCCTCACCCCAATACTCCACGTTTTTTTTTGGGGGGGGGGGGAGGACTAAGGGCCCTTTCACACAGCCATACAACCCAGAATATCAAGGCAGATCATTCACAATTCTTGCTTTGAACTGGATTATTTGGCAGTGTAGACTCGGGGCCCTTTCACACAGCCATACAACCCAGAATATCAAAGCAGATCATCCACAATACCTGCTTTGAACTGGATTATTTGGCAGTGTAGACTCAGGACTCGTCCACACAGCCGTATAACCCAGAATATCAAGGCAGATCATCCACAAGACCTGCTTTGAACTGGATTATTTGGCAGTGTAGACTCGGGGCCCTTCCACACAGTCATATAACCCAGATTATCAAGGCAGATCATCCACAATACCTGCTTTGAATTGGATTATTTGGCAATGTAGACTCAGGACCTGTCCACACAGCCGTATAACCCGGAATATCAAGACAGATAATCCACAAGACCTGCTTTGATCTGGATTATTTGGCAATGTAGACTCAGGACCCGTCCACACAGCCGTATAACCCGGAATATCAAGGCAGATCATCCACAAGACCTGCTTTGAACTGGATTATTTGACAATGTAGACTCAGGACCCGTCCACACAGCCATATAACCCGGAATATCAAGGCAGATCATCCACAAGACCTGCTTTGAACTGGATTATTTGGCACTGTAGACTAAGGGCCCTTCCACAAGCCATATAACCCAGAATATCAAGGCAGATCATCCACAATATCTACTTTGAACTAGGTTATCTGAGTCCACACTGCCATATAATCCAGTTCAGTGTGGATTTTATACAACTGTGTGGAAGGGGTCCGAGATACCTTTGCTTTCTGGTGGTTCAGGAGACACCAGCTTTGTTTCATGCACAACATGGTCTTAAATATATCGTTTGTAAAATGACCTATGTATCAAAGGTGGCGCAGTGGGTTAAACTGCTGAGCTGTTGAACTTGTTGATTGAAAGGTCACAGGTTTGAATCTGGGGAGGGGCATGAGCTCCCACTGTTAGCCCCAGCTCCTGCCAATCTAGCAGTTCGAAAACATGCAAATGTGAATAGATCAATAGGTACAGCTCCGGCGGGAAGATAATAATAATAATAATAATAATAATAATAATAATAATAATAAATCTTTATTTATACCCCACCACCATCTCCCCAATGGAGACTCGGAGCGGCTTACATGAGGCCAAGTCCAGGACAACATGTTACAGCAAAATAAAATCAAAACATAAACAACAAGCAACATAATCAAAATTACATAGAAGAAAAAAAAGTCATGCTGGCCACAAGACCTTGGAGGCGTCTACAGACAACGCTGGCTCTTTGGCTTAGAAATGGAAATGAGTACCAACATCCAGAGTTGGATATGACTGGACTTAATGTCAGGGGAAAACCTCAACCTTTCTCAAAGGGGTATATGAAACCTAAACTTTGCATTTATACTGGGGTATTCCATTCCATAGACATCTCATTCAGCATATGCAAATATTCTGAAATCTGAAAACTGGTTCCCCAAGCATTCTGGAGAAGGGATACTCAACCTGTGTAGGCTATGATCTGTAAAGCTCTGTTTGAGTTGGCTAGGGTGGAATTGTATGGATAGCATATACAAATACATATATGTTTGTATGTCTGTCAGTCTGTCTCTGTATCTATTTATGTATTTTCCAAAAGAGCACTTTGACTCCTTCAAACAACAGATCTGGATCAAACACAGACTCATAACATAACATAAAATGGCAGAGGGTTTTTTTGAGAGGGGAATTGACCTTGGATGACAGGAATTGCAATTCACCAAACAACCAGGAAGAACTTCGAACCCCATTGACCACAAATTTGGACTAACCTTGGCACACAGACACCCCTTCAATGATCAACAGAAAATATTGGGGAGGTGGAGGAAGGAACTGGATGATGGGAATTGCAGTTCACCACGCATACTTGGCAATCCCTCGTTGTCTGAGTAGGATGGTCTTCCAAGATCGGTGTACTGGCGGTGGGTCCATAGGTGACTGTGGAGCCCTATTCTTGACTTGCATGTTCTCCCGCAGTGAGGGCATTGGTTTCTAGTTGGAAGGTGGTCCCAGTCAGGGTTGGCTTGATGTGCCTTCCTCTTGGCACGTTTCTCTCTTTCATCCTCCATTTGTGCCTCTTCAAATTCTATAGCACTGCTGGTCACAGCTGACCTCCAGCTGGAGCGCTCAAGGGCCAGGGCTTCCCAGTGTCTATGCCACAGTTTTTAAGATTAGCTTTGAGTCTGTCTTTAAATCTCTTTTCCTGTCCACCAACATTCCGTTTTCCATTCTTGAGTTCGGAGTAGAGAAACTGCTTTGGGAGATGGTGGTTGGGCATCCGGACAATGTGGCCGGTCCAGCAGAGTTGATGGTGGAGGACCATCGCTTCAGTGCTGGTGGTCTTTGCTTCTTCCAGCACGCTGATATTTGCCCACCTGTATTCCCAAGAGATTTGCAGGATTTTGGGGAGGCAACGCTGATGGAATTGTTCCAGGAGTTGCATGTGATGTCTGTAGACAGTCCACGTCTCGCAGGTGTATAGCAGGGTTGGGAGAAGAATCGCTTTATAAACAAGCACCTTGGTATCCCTACGGATGTCCCAGTCCTCAAACATATAATCCAGATTATCAAAGCAAGTAATCCACATTATCTGCTTTGAACTGGATTATATGAGTCTATTATATGATTGGGGATAGCTGTCCATGGGTGTTTCAGACTCCACCTACACTGTCATATAAAATCCAGATTATATGCTTTGAACTGGATTATATGACAGTCTAGACTAATATAATCTAGTTCAAAGCAGAATAATCTGGATTTTATATGGCAATGTAGATGGGGCCCTAGTTATTCCTCTAAGGGCCCTTCCACACAACCCTATATCCCAGAATATCAAGGCAGAAAATCCCACAATATCTGCTTTGAACTGAGTCCACACTCGGATAATGTGAGATTTTCTGACTTGATATTCTGGGATATAGGGCTGTGTGGAAGGGCCCTAAGAGAGGTGTGATAAACCTAAGTGCAAAAGGGAATAGATTAGCAAATGACTGTATTGTCAAGCTTAATCTCCTTTACAAAATCAGTTATTTCTCAGTTTATCCTAAGTATATGTACTTAAGTGTGGGACAGTTATACTTCAAACAAAAAGAAAAACGGCTGATGTATGATATATTAGGCATATCTCTTTGCATATACTACCTTTTTAAAAAGTGGGAGCAGATGTTATTCTCTCCATATTGATAGAAATATTCTATTACTGTTATATCCACACAAAGCTTTGAATGCCTTTGTTTGTAATAGGTAAACCCCGTATACTCAATCATAAAGAGCACTGGAATTTTTCCAGAAACCCCATTACTATTAGGTGCAATAATACTACAAGACTTGGTGTGAAAAATGGAATATAAAGCATGGAGAAGAAAAGGGAAGACATGAATAGGAATCTTCAAATAACTGAAGAACTATCAGGAAGGCTCATTTCAGAGAGTAAGACTAAACCCAGCTGGCAGTGATTTCAGGAAGTAATTTCAATTAAGTATGAAGAATAGTCCCAATGGCAAGAGCCATTGGACAGTGGGGCAAACTGCCTCAGAATGTGATGGATTCTTTTAGGTTGGAGGCATTCAGCAGTGATACTATATTAGTATTTTTCATCATTGCTCTTTCATTAAGCAGTAGGGTCAATTGGATAACGTCAGCCTTTCCATTTCTGTAATACAAAAGTGCTCCTTTTCTCATCTGTGGAGAAAATACTGTAATAACAGGGCATTTAAAATAAGTACATGTGATTGATTCAAGTGAAGATATGTATTGGTTCCTTGACAGAATGAAAATACTCCATGTAGCTGCAACAAATCTTCAACATATACTTCTCTTTATCAGCAGGACAGTTAGATATGGAGTGCTAAGCAAAGTGAGAAACACTGAACATCTCTTGTATAAAAACCTAGGAAACTTTAGTATCCTGGGCATTTCTGTTAGGAATGATGGAGGCAGATATTCCAATTTATGGCAGTTAGGCAAGTATTTTGGTTTTCACACATCGTACTTGTGTTTACCAGGAGGCAATACTTAGAATGGTGTAGTCCTTTATTAAGGAAGATTCAGACTATCTGTTCTAGGTTTGCAGTTTGAATAGAAGTATCCTGTCTTTAATAGGATTGTTAAGTGCGTGGAACATAAGTCTGGACATATGACTCTTTGCTATACTGACTCCAGGTATCTCATTTGATAGGAAGGCAAACTCATATAACCCTACACTTGCAATATAAGGATAATATAGCTAAGCTAATGCGGCTGTTTCTGCCAATCTAGCATTTCAAAAACATACAAATGTAAGTAGATCAATAGGTACTGCTTTGGTGGTAATGGCGCTCCATGCAGTCATTTTGGCCACATAACTTTGGAGGTGTCTACAGACAACGCCTGCTCTTCACCTTAGAAATGGAGGTGAGCAACTCCTCCATGTCAAGGGGAAATCTTTACCTATATTGTGGATGTAGGAAGATAATGTGGCTATGAGCAGATAATGTATATTAAAAGATTTGAAAGCTCTATATCTGTAAATCAGTAGTTGGGAGCTTGTATATTGGATTCTAGCTCCCATCAGCCCAAGTCAGCATGGACAGTAGGAGCCCCCAGTGGTGCAATGGGTTAAACCCATGTGCTGGCAGGACTGAAGACCAACAGGTCAGAGGTTCGAATCCGGGGAGAGCGCAGATGAGCTTTCTATGTCAGCTCCAGCTCCCCATGCGGGGACAGGAGAGAAGCCTCTCACAAGGATAGTACAAACATCAAAACATCTGGCCGTTCTCTGAGCAACGTCTTTGCAGACGGCCAATTCTCTCACACCAGAAGTGACTTGCAATTTCTCAAGTTGCTCCTGACACGAAATAAAAAAAATAAAGCATGGACAGTCATCAGGAGTTATGTATTCCAGCAATATTAGGAAGCC